ATAGTTAAGGAAAAGGAAGGAAAGAAAGGGGAAGGTCAAATAAGAAGAAGAAATGGACAAGAGAATAAAAAAGATAGGGATTATAGAAAAAGAAAATGGGCGGCAAGAAAGAGAGGAGAGAAAGAGGAAGGTCAAATAGGAAGAAGAAATGGACAAGAGAAGAAAAAAGATAGGGATTATAGAAAGAAAATGGGAGGCAAGAGAGAAAGAAGATAAGAAGAGAAACGTGGTAATCAAGGGGTTGGAAAGAAGTGAAAGGGAAATGAAGGAGACAGTGCTAAGAATATTGAAAGAGATAGGGACGGATGTCAAGGTAGAGGAGGTAAAGAGGATAGGTAGCAATGAAATAGAAGGAAGGGAAATAGTGAAATTAGGAAATGAAGATCAAAGGAGGAAAGTGTTATAAAAGAAGTAAAATCCAAGAGGAAGGAAGCTATGGATAGACGAGGATATGACGTGGGAGGAAAGAAAAATGAAATGATGGCTAAGAAGGGTGGCACAATAGGAGAAAAAAAAGGAAAAAGAGTATGGAAGAAAATAAAAATAGAAGAAAAATGATAGTATTGGGATAAAGAGGAAGGAGTATTAAAAGATGGAAAGGGTAGGAAAAGGGACATAGGAGATCAAATGTAGAGGAGAGAAGGGGGAAAGGAGAAAAAAGGGAGGGAAGAGAACTAGTGCAGGCGAAGGGAAAAGGAGGTAGAAAGAGGAGTAGGGGGCGAGAGAAAGTGGAAAGAGAAGGTTAAAAGATAGCCTTCTGGAATATAGCGGGGATAGAAAATAAAGATACAGAGTTCTGGAAAGATACTGAAAAGTAAGACGTAATGTTTTTAGTAGAAATATGGGTAAAGGAGAATAATTGGAAAAGAGTGAGAGAAAAGCTGCCGAGGGATTAGAATTGGCGGGCATAATTTGCGAAGAGAAATAACAAGAGAAGGAGGGCGAAAGGAGGAATAAGGTAAATGTCCTTATTTGTGATCATGAACCTATTTGTGATCACTCGGACTTTTATTAAATTAATCAAAAATTTTAAATAATTTATCTTCACGGAGGGTTCATTCATCACATTTAGCAATTTAGTCACGATTCGATATATGGTTTCAGTGATACTTAACTAACAAATACTTATGAAAATGTGAAATAAGGTGTTCGTGTCTCCATCAGTGGCAAATTGAGCACGTGTTTGTCGCTAGTTAGTAGAGATGGCGTTTGTCACAACATAGTTACATCTTTGTTATGTCGTCCGGAAATAAAATGTTTAAGAACAATTTTTTCGTAAAAGTGTCAGTGAATACTTAATAAATATTGTGCTATGTGTGGATTCTAAAAAAGGTTGATAATTTTAAACATATAAATAAATATGACAAATAGGTGTAACAAAACATGCATGTTTCCATTTGTGACCGTCTCAAGAAAACTAGCCATAACATTAAATTTCGTTTTTTTGAAAAGAAAACAATTAATACTTATCTCCATAAGTTTCTAGACAAGTATGAGTTGCATTTGTATGAATAAAACGAAAATATTTGATGTATGCTCGAGGAAAAATTTTAATTATTAGGTGTTGGAATTAATTCGTAGCGTTTTTAAATGAAAGAATGTTATTTATTTCACATGAGCATTAAAAAATACATTAATGAAAGTACTTCCCATCACTTGTAAAACGCTACGAATTAATTCCAACACCTAATAGAAAAAACTTTTGATTAGGTCACTAAGTGGGACATCGTATGTTTCTGTTCCTATTTATGATCACACCTTTAAATTGTTTGTTTACAAGTAAATATTAAATAATTTCTTTGACCAAATTAAGAAAGCTTATACTTAATGTGCTGTTTCAAATTTCGTGCTTTGTACTACAGCGAGTAACTTGTGACCATAGATCACGAAAATGCGACCGCAGCGCATGTTCGCATCATATAGTTTGTGGCAGTGACAGATTTTCTAACATGAATAGACTAGATAGAATCAAGTTTGAAGTTAAAGTTATAGAAGTTTGAAGTTAAAGAACATTAAATATCAGGTTAATATCTCTTCACTGTGCTTTTTCTGTCAAAACTTTATTTTTACGCGAAAACGCAACGAGTGAGTATATTTTTATTTCGAGATTTGAATAAGAAATGATCGTCAGCGTGATGTCAAATTGATGTTAATTCAATGAATCATTTCTTGCTTGGGAGAATACTCTGAATACCTCCAAATGTTTGTGTTCCAAAATCAACTGCCAGTAGAAAAACTATATTGCATGTAACGACAGATTTTTAATACCGGCAGTGTGGAACACAGTCTAAGTATAATATTTATGAGACTTTGAATTTTTATTTGTAGATTAAAGTTTCAAATCATAATGGGTAAAATCCGAAAAAGATGGTCAAACATAGAACTTGAAAAAGTACTTGCTGATGTACGTTGTGAAAAGTCAATAAATGGTGTTAGCAAATCAAGTGATATTCCTAAATCAATGCTAATTGCAAAATTGAAAGGACATCGACCAATTAGAAAGAGATCAGATCCTCCAAGTCCTGTATTCTCTGTTGAGAAAGAGCAATAATAGTATGCTGGATGTTTCATCTCAACAACAAGGCTTCCCTGCGACAAAAACACAACTGTTTTATAACATTGCTCATTTAATTAAATGATTGGGTCGAGGAACACCATTTACTGATGGACGACCAGAGCGTCATTGGTGCGAAGCGTTTTTACGTCGACATCTGGAGATTTCTATTCGTGTAGCTCAAAATTTGTCCAAAAGTCGAGCATCAGTGACAGAAGATATTTTGCGCGGTTAATTCAAAGAGGTCGAACAACATTTAACTGAGAAACAGTTAATAAATATTGATGGAGCCCAGATATTTAATTGCGACGAATCTGCTTTCTATCTTTGTCCGAAAGAGGAGAGTGTGCTTGTTAAAAAAGGAGATAAGGCAGTTTATAATTGCACACAAAATGATGAGAAGGAATGCTTGACGGTGCTATCATGACAAACGCTATGGGTACATTGGTTCCTCTAATGATAAATTTTCCCTATGAAAGAATTCCCTACAGCATCCAAAGTGGATGGATAACGGCTGAAACTTTCTATGAATATATAAGCAATATTTTTGAACCATAGTTGACAGCACAGAACATCAAGAAGCCGGTTATTCTATATGTGGACACTCTTCACACATGACGTTTCCACTTGCCGAGTTTTGTATGAATCATGAAATAAAACTTATTGCATTGTTCCCGAACGCGACATATCTGATTCAGCCACTTGTTCTATTTCGGACGTTTAAATCGAAATGGAGAGACTGCGTAAATGATTGGCGAATGCAAAATCAAAGAAATTTAGAGAAGAGAAGATTTTAGTCCAATCCTTAAAATTACTATTGAACATGTAGAACTTCCAAGAGTAATGAGCAATGGTTTCAGGAAATATGGCCTTTCTCCATTTTCAGCTGACGCACTTCAATACAATCAATTGTTGCAGAAGAAAAAACAGTAATGATACAGTAATAACTTCGGAACCAGAACAGAATGTTGAAAATCATTTATTATTTATTGAGAGTAATATCGAAAGATTTGTTAAGCAAATTCAGACATGCTAATGAAACTGAAATCTATAACGACAATCTTGAAAATCTTGATCTCTTCCTTTTTTGGCAAAAGATTTTGAAATTATCAAGTAATAATTTTTATAATTTTTAATTTTAAAAAATCTTTTTTTCTGTATGTACATGTATATCTTCCAGAGATGATTATAATTATTTATAAATTTGAGATAAAATTATTTAATAATACAAACGAATTATTAATCAATATTCATTCAACTAAATGATTGGTTAGCTTTTTTTAAATAAATCAAATCAAATCTTAAAGAAGGTTGAATTAGACAATTAGACAGTTGAATGTACTATAATGATTTGATTTGATGGGACAAAAATTTTCTTATTCGCATATTGTTTACTTTGGAATCGATTGTATATCTTGAAATGAGATGAAAATTGCAAAAGTAAACAAATTTACTAGAATATTCATAATTTAATTGGTTAATAACTAGTGAATTTATTCACTTTTGTAATTTTCACCTCATTTCGAGATATACAATCGATTATCCCTTTATTCAATTTTGAAATGAATTTACTTTTCAATTTGTATTTTAATTTACTTTTTAAGGTAGCTATTCCAGTTTTCAAAATACTGAAGACTCTAATTCTACGGATCATATTATTGACATTTTTGTCGTGAATGATTCAAATCAGAATCTTAACTCTAACATTAATCATGAAACTTACGCTTTAAAATCTAGTTTCGATCTACAATCAGTGCATCAAGACATGAATGAAAAGGAAAACATTTGGCCACTAAAAAATTCTGAAGACAATTTGACGAAACGAATTACTGTTTCAAGAGCATCTCAGTCTTCAGCTTGCAGATAACTCAATTGATGCTAGAGCAAATGATGTCCCGCAAATCATAATGGAAAATAAAATGGTTCCTGCAGGATCTTCACAATTAAACAATGATGATAATGGACAAGTAAATTTCATGAAACCTTTTAATTATTATCGTTTGTTATATTCAAACTACAAAAAATTTGAACTACATAAAATTTTTCTATTTTTTCAGAACATTAATGTCTACGTCACTAAAGATATGCAATCAGTATTAGTGTCTGCCATCATTGACAACTGTATAGATATAATAGATATAATAGATGTTGAATGATATTAAAAAGTTAAAAGATGAATTGTCTAATCTCTATTATCTTTCAGATTGCTTGGACATTCTTTCTGATATCCCAGATGTTTTTAAAAAGACAATATTTTGGTTCCGTCAAAATAAATCAGCAACGAAGAAACGTGCTCTAAAAGTCAAAGTGCCTTCAGTGGCCACTTCGTTGGCAAGAATATCACCGAGCAAAAGAAATAGAAAAAAATGAACGTCTAATTATAATCGAAGAGAGAAAAAGAAAATATCAAGAAATGGCTGAGAAAAAAAAATAGGAAGCAAAGGAAAAAAAGGCAAAAAACGTTGCAATGAGCTGAAAAAAATAATGATAGTTCTAGCAGGAAGAATAGCTGAGGAAAATAATGTGCAAGTAATATGATTTGTTATTCTTTACTTATATGTATGCACTACGAAAATATTTATACGAAAAATATAATTGAACAACTTTTTTCATTATTATAGATCTGCTGCTTGTATTTTTTGCCCTCAGTATTTTTCTTTTTCTTTAAAGTCTAAATATATAAATATTTCTCTCGTTTTAAGTACAAAGTTTTGAGAATTTCAAGTAACGCGAACAAATTTATTATGGTTAATTTTTCCCCAATTTTAATCTTTATAGGCGAAATGTTTCGAAATGGTCTTAAGCTGGTGCTTAAGATGTCATGAGTCGAACAGAGAGCCATATTAGCATCTTAAGACATTGTTTGAAGCGGTTTTGAAATTAAGAATGAACTACGAACCAACCTGAGCAAGAAAATTAAATCACTAAAATGGTACGTTTCATCTGCTGCAGTCATTAATCAGGACAGACAATGGTGTCACTAATAGAACCAGATTAAATTTAAACGGTCAGAAATGTGTACATTTACATAGTCCACTAATTCTTTTTTTATTTTTATTAGATTATGCTTAGAATTAGAGTGAAACATGTTTTTCGATACAAAAATGATTAATCTTGTTTGATATAATTGATTTCCTGATTTCAATCATTTTTTAGTATTTTTTATTCTTATTAACTCATGCGACTATCTTACATAGTTACAAATAGGGACATTTACCTTAGTAGTGGGAACGGCAAAAATAGGAAAGGATGATAGAAATGGAGGGGGAAATAATAGAGGGATGGTAGAATTAGGGATTTTGGGAAAGAAAAATGGAGGATAATAGGTGTGTATTTGATGGAAGAGTGGAAGAATCGAAAGAAGAAAGGCTCAAATGCAACAAAATTCTTCAAACAGAAGAAGAAATTGACTTATAGGCCAGGAATTAAGTTGTCAAATATTATTAACAAAAAGTAAATATTATTATCATAAAGTAACTTTAAACACATTTTTCTCGAATTCATGTTTTTTTCCAACTGGTGAGAAATGTACAGCTTCGATTGACATGAAGTTTTTTTCCACGTAAAATAGACAATTTTTATAAGGCCATGAACCTAGAAATGTCATAAATTTTCCAAAATAACTATTTTTTTGAACAGATTTAAAATGAAAAAAAGTTCGTGAAAATTGACACTTAATTTCAAATGGTTTCCTGGAAATGGATTCATTCTGTAAATTTCAAATTTTTCAAATGAAATGAAGTTCATGGCTCCACAAATTTAATATATTTTAATAATTTTATTGATTTTTTTGTCTCAGATAAACTGTCAACAGTCAAGATTTTCCGCCAATTGGCCATGTACGCGCTGCACGCTCTGATGCATCCGTAGACTACAGCCGCAATTTTCTACATTTCTGAAAATGAAAAATTTTTTTGTAATATAAAAAACGTAATGCAAAAAGCATTATTTCAATATCTCTTTTCTTTTTTTATGAAAAAAATTGGTAAAAAATACATAAATTTTGGAGCTCTAGATTAGAATCTCTTCTTAAGGAAATGGATGGAAAAGAAGAAGGAAGGAATTAGAACAAAAATAGGTGGGGATTTTAATGCAAGGACTGGAGAAAGAGGAAGAGAAATCAAAGGAGAGGAAGAGAATGGAGGAGAGGGGAAGAGAAAATCAAAAGATAAGTACATAAATAAGAAAGGAAAGAAATTAGTAGAGAATGTAGAAGAAATGGATTGGATGATTTTAAATGGCAATATCAGAGAAGATGAAGAAGGAGAGGGGACTTATATAAAAGCCAGAGGACAAATGGTTATAGATTATGTATTAGTGAAAGGTGAAAGGATAGGATAGAAAATTTTGTAGTAGGAGAAAAGATAGAATCGGATCATCAGCCGTAATAGAATTAAAAGAGGGAAAGAAGAGAGGAAGTAATAGGAAAGTAAAGGATGAAAGAAAAGATAGAGGAAGATGGAACGAGAAGGGAAAAAAGGAGTTCGAGAAGAATCTGGGAGAAATAGAAAAGAAAAGAAAAGAAATAGATAGAGAGATGGGGAAAAGAATAACAGTAGCGTTAGAAAAAGAAAGAATAGATCAGGAGGAGAAGAGAAAGGGAGATTGGTGGGACGAGGAATGTAGTTATATAAAAGAGAAAGTGAGAAAGGCACTGAGAGATTGGAGAAAAAATAAGCAGGAGGGAAAGGAATATAGAAGAATTAAAAGTGAGTATAAGAGTATGTGCATAAAGAAAAAAGAGGAAGAAAAGGTAAGTGAGAGAAAAGTAGAGCGAAGACTCAGAGTAAGGTATAGAAAATCATGAACAGAGAAAGGAAAAAGAGCAGGAGAATAAACAAGAAAATTGAGATGGACAGGTAGAAGGAATTTTATGGAGGTATTGAGGGGAATGGAACAAAGAGTTAGAAGGGGATGTAGTAAGGTAAAGGAAGGACAAGAAGAGAAAATAGGAGAAGAATTTAGAAGGACTCTAAAGAGAATGAAAGATGAAAAAGCGATGGGAGAGGATGAGATTCCGATGGAGGTATAGGAGTAAGGGTATTGAAGATTGGGCAAGGGAGATGTGTAATAGAGTGTAGAGAGGAGAGAAGAATAGCCAGAAAAGTGGAGAGAAGAAATAATTGTATCAATTATTAAGAAAGAAGAAGAGAAAAGAGTGAAAGAATATAAAGAGGTTACTCTAATGCCTACTTTATATAGATTATATATATATCAATATTAGCGGAGAAGTTGAAAAAAGAGATGGAAGAGAAGGTGATTATTCCAGAAAATCAGGTAGGATTTTAGGAAGGAACAATAGACAATATGTATTAAATTATTTAATAGGCAATTAGGAAAAAAGGAAGGGGAGCTAATAGCGATATTCATAGATTTAAAGGCAGCTTTTGATTTAATTGATAGGAAAATAATATATAGAGAAATGAGGAAAAAAGGAATAAATGGGGGATTAGTTAAGAATATAGAAGAAGTATAGAGAGAAACAATAAATAAGATTAAGATAGCAATAGAGAAAGAAGAGAAATTTTGGACCGCAAGAAGAATAAGATAAGGCTGCCCTAAGTCTATACTTATTCAATAGTATATAGTAATAGCGAACATTGCGGAAGAGATGAGGAAGGGAAAGTGGGGAGGAGTGAAATTAGGAGAAGAAAAGATGTATACATTGGCGTATGCGGACGATACTGTGATGTTAGAGAAGGAAAAAGATATAAAGAGTATGTTAAACAGATTAGAAAGATATTTAGACGAGGAAAAATTAGAATTAATTAGCGAAAAAATAAAAATTTTGAGATTTAGGGAGACAGAAAGATAAAGAAGAGAAAGTGGTGAAAGAGTAAAAGGTTAGAGAAAGTGAAAGAATTTAAATATTTGGAAAAAGAACGATGAAAAAAAACGAAGAACAAAAGGCACACATAAAGGAGAGGATGAGAAAGGGGGCAGCATTGTTAGGTCACGTATGGGGAATAGGAAAGAGGAGATTTGGAAAAAGAATGTGGCTTTTTGACACGTTGATATGGACAATAATGAGCGATGGAGAGTTGGGGATGGAAACAAAGAGAAGAAATAGAGAGGATACAGGAGAGATGGGTATTTAAGATGGGTAATATGGATAGAAAAAGACACACCGGGATATATGATAAGAGAGGAAATAGGTAGAGATAAAGTAAAGGAAAGAGCAGGAATAAGAGCATGGAAATTCGAGAAGACTGAGAAAAAGTAAAGGAGAGGAGCTAGCGAGAAAATGTTAGAAGGAAAAGAAAGAGAGAAAAGAAAAAGGAAAGAAGTTATCGAGATGGGAAAAAGAAAAAGAAGATTAGGAAAAGGAAAATAGAAAAGGATGAAAAAGGAAACGAGGATAAAGGGGAGAGAGAGAGGGGGGAGGGGAGAGAGAGAGAGAGAGAGAGACAGTGATAGAATATAAGATGGAGATAGTATACATATAAGATGAGCGATAGGGGAAACCGGGGTCATACAGTAGCGACATATGAATATATTGAATATACAGTACCGGCAAAAATTATATCACCTTTTGGTTTTTTGAGTATAGCTTTCGTCAAAGAGTATTAAATATTAAATACGAGTATATATATTAAATACGCTCAAAATTTTACAGTAGATACTTGATGGTAGATGCACTTTGTACATGAAGTATAATGAAATTTAACAAGTTACGCCATGATTTTTGAATTTTTTATTGATTTTAGCAAAATCACACTTTTGTGCTTTCATTGTTTTTCATGTCGCAGCCATTGTTCTTACGGTCTTAATCTAATTTTGGCAGTAAATTTAGTGTTTCACATTATGGCAAAAACCCACTCGAGATATAGAACGACAAAATGCTATCATAGAAGGCCGCAAACAAGGACGAACGCACAAAGAGCTCGCACAACAGTTTGGCATTTCTAAATCGGCGGTAACGAAATTGCTGAAGCGTTGGAAGGGAAATTATGTCAAGAAGAAGAAAACCGGGCGATCGCGTTGTACTTCTTTTGTCATTGACGCAACATTCTCCGCATATCCCGCAGCAATCCACGGCATCAGATATTGCCAAAGAAATATTAATTTCTGGTGAGTCTAGTCCAACCATACGGACCATATGTTATCATCTGCTAGTCGCAGGACGACGACTCGTACAGAAGCCATTTGTTTCCGCCAAGAACCGAAAGATGCGAGTGGAATGAACAAAAGCTCATCTTAATTGGACACCTCAGCAATGGTCCTCTGTCATCTGGAGCGACGAAAGTAAGTTTTTGTTATATGATACTGATGGAATAACATGGATTCGTCCTAAAGGCAAGCGATTCGATCCCAAGTACCAACTTCCTACAATGAAACACGGAGGTGGTTCGGTCATGATGTGGGGTGCTTTCTCTGCAAAGGGAATGGATCTTCATAAGATTGACGGCAAAATGGATCAAAAAATATACATAGACATCCTCGAGAATGTGATGTTTCCGTAAAGCGTTTTCTTGGTCGTGGCTTTATATATCAGCAAGACAATGATCCAAAACATCGCGCGGCTAAAGTGCGGAAGTGGTTTCGGCAACATCGAGTAACTCTTCTAGAGTGGCCAAGCCAATCGCCCAACTTAAATATCATCGTTGTGGAATGAACTTCAGAGACGTTTAACCAGTAAGCGAGCTACAAATATGGCCGAAAAATTCGCCCAATTGGAGGAAGAGTGAAAGAAGATCTCTCAGTCGACAATTGACACACTTATCGATTCCATGCCAAGCTGTAATCAATGTCAAAGGTTTTGCTACAAAATATTAAAGTTGTACAATCTAAATTATGAATTTTTTGTTCGTTTTGAAAACATTTATTTTCGTTATAGTAATTAAAAATTTATTATGAAATTTGATATATTTTAGAGATTTTAAATAAAATTAATTTTTCACAAGTTGTTGTTTTTATTATTTGATGAAAAGTTATTTGTTCAGTAAACTATATCTATTATTAAAACATATTACAATTTGATAAAGATCTGTACAGTTTAAAAAAAATTATGCTTAAAAAATCAAAGGTGATATAATTTTTGCCGGTACTGTAGGGGTAAGTAGAATAATCGAAGCTACATTAAAAATAAAACACGCAATTCGTTTACATTCGTAAACGTATTAAAAACTATCTTATACCCTTCCTTGCTTACGTGACTTTTCAAGCGAAGGAAGCATGGAGGTGGGATGGGAGTTGCTTCGCATGGAAATCGTGCACCTCTAAACAGAAATAAAACATTACCTTTTCAAACTTTTTTTATTGAGAGTACAAATTAGTTCGGTCCGTTTTTTTGTGTTCAAAAATGCATTTATTTCAAAATAAAATGAATGAACAGATTAATTAAAGTATTGTTCATCGATGACTACTACTTTTTCCCATCTTTCAGGCAATTTTCGAATTCCATCTCGAAAAAATGATCGTCTTTGGAGACGATCCAATTTTGGAGCCAATTTTCGATTTCTGAGAAAGAAGTGAACCGGTGACTTGCCAAATCGTGCTGCATCCTTCGGAACAACTAGTAATCAGAAGGAGCAATGTCCGGAGAATACGGCGGGTGCGGTAAAACATCCCATTTGAGCGTTTCCAAATATTTTTTTACGACTTTTGCGACATGAGGCTGATAGTTGTCATGAAGAAAAATAACTTTATCATGTCTTTGCTCGTATTCCGGCCGTTTTTCTCAATGCACGGCTCAAACGAATCAATTGTAGCCGATACCGATCGCCAGGTTTCAGTAGCTCATAGTAAACAACACTCTTTTGGTCCCATCAGATACAAAGCATGATCTTCGAATGTTCCATGAATGAACCATGAATGTTCGGCTTTGGTGTTGATGTTGAGGTCGATGGCAACGATTGACCGGGCTTAGCGTAGTATTTTTTCTTCTTGGGGTTGTCGTAGAATATCCACTTCTCATTTCCAGTCACAATCCGATGCAAAAAA